TCTCTGTATTGTTTCTGTGCAGTGGCTAAAAGAAATAAGATGCATAGGCTATTGCTTCAAGTTTGATATCATGCTTTCTAATGCAATGTCTAATTCACATCTTAAATTGCAGTGCTTTTATGGTTGCTAACCGCTGCCTGCATTAAGACGGGACGGCCACAAATTGCAAGACGAGCAATAGATCTTGCTGAGAGCCGCTTATCTAAGGACTCCTGGCCTGAATATTATGACGGTACAGTTGGAAGATATATTGGTAAACAAGCGAGGAAGTATCAGACATGGTCAATCGCAGGATATCTTGTAGCAAAGATGTTGCTGGAGGATCCTTCGCATTTGGGAATGATTGCCTTGGAAGAGGACAAACAAATGAAGCCTGTAATCAAACGATCAGCTTCTTGGACGTGCTGAAGTGCTGAGTTGAAGAAAGAGATTTAAGTACAAATGAATAGAGAAAGCCACAAGGTGAGAGCAATCTTTTGTTATTTTGTTACAAGAACACTATTTTTTTTTGGCTCCTATTCCCATCCTTGTAATATTGCTCTTAATTTTTATTGTGTACTGTTGCATCCAGCGAGACCAATGTCTCGTTTATCAGTATAAAAGACCTCGTTTGATGGTTCCCTTGTTGGAAAGTTTTATGCAATGATGCTCTAATTGTTTGGATAGATAGAATTTTTCTAACCACCGTTGAAGCCATAAGTGAACAAAATGATATCAGTAGTTGATTTGCATTATGCTGCAGCTGGATAAAGGTATGCTCAAAGATGTGTTATGTGCAAAACAAACTGTTTATGCTTGTTGTTTAGAAGGGTCTCTGGCATACTGTTTAGCTGTCCTGTTAATAGAAACTAATATATATATATATAGTATGGGAATTACAATATTTCATTACATTTCAAAATCCATGTCAAGTAAATCAATATATATAAACTATCACCAATGCCACTAAATTGCTAAAGGAAATAAAAATATCCCAAAGGAATAATATAAGGCATAAGTGAAGGACTAAGAATTGACTATATAAAAGATGTTTATCAAATTAGAGAGAAAAAGTAGGAGGCTTTATTGCATAACTCAAAAACTCTTAAATCTCACTACATATGAGCTACCTCTCAATCTGAGAAAATAGGTCGCAAGCACCCCTATTTATAGTACTACATTACCAAATTACAACTATTATTCATTAAGTGAATTTGTTTATAGTAAAATTAGTTCTCGAACATGTGCGAAGCACATGTATTTTATATTTTGTTCAATTTTTAAAAAAAATATTACACACAAAACTAATAATTTAAAAGTGTGTGATGCATAACATAAAATTAAGAAAAATGCTCAAAACACTAACATACAACATAACTACAAACCCCTTTTAGGTAAGTATAAAAAATTAGGCTAAATAAACCAAAATCCCAAAATATTAAATAAACAAACAAATTTCGAAGCTATACAACATAACAAATAATTTGACTAACAATATAATAAGGTAAACAATGAAAAATATGCATCTTTATAAGTGTCAAACTGAATTCTATGAGAGGCTATATACTTTGCTATCAATCAAACCTTTTTCTCCCCTTGAATTTGGTCATAATCTAAGTTGACAATCTTATATCAAGAATGTAATTCACCACATCACAGAGCGCATGTAATCAAATTTTATTTGAAATTGAAAAAACATAAATGATATTTCACCAGACGGAGAAACCTCCTAATTAAGGTTGGAGGTGCATCATATAAGAAGTTGAAAAAACTCGGGTCCCTCGCATGAACTAACATTGCACTTACAACTGCGTTGTACATGCTATTGTCTTAAAGCGTATCACAAGGTTATATATAGCTTACTTTTTCTGCTGTATTTCAATTATATATGCATATTTAGCAATTTTTTTTAATAAAGCCGTGTCCGTGTCTGTGTCCGTGACACTCCTTACGTGTTACTAGATTCACCCCGGTTTGAATATGTGTTAGTCATTAAGATCATGAATAAAGTATTCAACATTAAGAGATATTTTTGTGTGAATAATTTTTACCATCACTTTGTTCACAATCACTATCCACTACTACTAACAACCTTTATCGTTACAATCACTAATCATCTCTGTTGTCACAACTATCAACCATCTAAGTGGTTAGATCCTTCAACCACGTCACAATCCTCATTGGCAACCATTACTGTCAGTTGCTACAACACCTACCACATCCATCATTATATTTATATCCGCATTTGTCATTATCAACATCAATACCTCTGCCGCTACTATCATCTACAATCAATTCCTATTACTAATCACCGCCATTATCACAACTATCACCAACACCATCGTCAACCACCACACTTCTTTAGCCATCACCATTTACAACATCAACTAATTCCATAATCACAATCATCACCTCTAGTAACCATCCCGGGTCAATCACTACAGTCCTACATTGCGTCATCACACGTATCACCACTACCATTACCAGCATCAACCATCACAATCACCACGACTACGACTCATCTTCATCATCACAAGCAAGTATAAATGATTTTTTTATTAAATTTATATTTTTTCTATTTAATTATTTCTATTTGAATTATATTTTTATATGTCTAAAAATGAATAAATAATGTGTATTCAGATATTAAAATATCGTTAAACAAAGGATATTTTAATTATTTAGTAGATAATATCTTAAGTAGAGTACTGCATCCTAGTTAAATTACATATATACCTGCCCAATTGGATTGCTTCCACTAGGTTTCCAAAACAAAAAGAAAGAGCTTTTTCTTTAAATTAAATGGACTACAAAGAAAAATAGAACAAACAAATTGAACAGGAGAATATCAAACAACAAAAAGTGAGAGAGGACTAAGAATTTCATCAAATCAGAAATGTCAGCTATATGCAGCAAAAGTGAGGACTTGAGATGTTTGTTAACTTGACCACATGAAGTTTGCTCAGGGGGGAATTTGTGTAGTTGCGGTATTTTAGATAATGTGAGACAAGTTCCTCGTTTAGCTTGATCGTAGAAGCTTACACAAAAAAACACTTGAGGTTAACCTCAAAAGTTAGCTCATATAAGTAGATCATCACCAGTCTATTTGCCAATCAATGTGAGATCACAACTTATTTGAATGTAAAAATTTTTGGGGCAAATTACAGAAATCACAATTTTTTTTGCTGACAAGAGCAGAGATTATACTGAAGTCCATAAAATTCACACCTTTGAGTTCAAGAATCTTCAGTGCATCTGGTGATGTCGATGGGGTAGGCGGAATCCGAGTTTTAGCTAGGACCTGAAACATTAATGATTTTGAAGGCAAAATACAAACTTGATTAATACTAGTAAAAAATTCAAATGTAAAGACATGTACTATAAGTAATTTCATTAGCATTAACCTACTGCAGAAACTTGCCATCAAGTTGAAGTGTTTTGACATTAGACAAACATAACTAAATCAGAGACGGGACAGACAGCCTTCCTTTCGGAGATATTACAACTCTCTCGAGAGAACAACTTCTTCAGTTTAGGGCCACTGATATAAAAATGATGAATGCCAGAGCACACAAACAACACTAGTACTGTTTTAAGAACTGGACATCGAGAAATGAAGCTTTCAAAGTAATTGTTTGTAAAGTCAACCCCAGAAAGTACCAAATGGCGAAGTTTGAGGAAGCCCTTAAACTCTAGTGGTGGCTAAAGAACAAAACTAACAAGCTTCAAGGATGTCAATTGTGTAGACAAGAGAAGAACGAAGGAGGCAACTTATCATGACGATGCTCTTCCAAATTAAGATCAACTCCTTGATGTTTCTACAAGATAAATTTAGTATCCATTTGTTGAGACAAGCTAAGGAGCTGCCTCATCAGTTGAAACATTGTAAGGAATGCATACTTCAAATCTCTCTAATCCACCATGAGGAAGTAGAAGAGAGTTTGTGATAATTTTATCGAATTGAATGTACTTAAACTCATACATATTCTTTCCTTTTCTTCACACAAATGCTATCAACTCGTATGCAAAACTGTTCATAAAATACCAACTGTGGAATATACAAGTAGTAACATGTCCACTTTTTAGACAAAACACTCGTTCTTACAGCTTCACGTATAGGCATTTTCCCTTATATGCAAGCTATCACATTCCGTGGCAAGCCACTGATAAGATCTTCATCAGCACGTTTTCTTTTGACACCTCTCAGAGCTAGACATATTCCTGTGAACGAAAAAAATCAAGTAAACTAACCTTAGCTTGCTGAATGCATGCACATATACACCTAAAGAAGAATAAGAATATGACAACCTTAATTTGCTAAAGAGTAGAGAGATTAAAATTCATCAGAATGGAAAAAAGGGCTTAATTTATCAAAAGGGATGTTGCCACTTTTTAACTTCACTAGAAATGTTTAGTTGATGATATGTGTGGGGTCAGTAGAAATATGAATGAGAGAGATGTGATCCCCAATTGTACCGTCAGCTTCTCTAAGAGTGCCTTCGAGAAGATGAACAAGGAAACAAATTCACTTACAACTTCTTCCTCATATGTCATAGATAGTAAACAATCAGCTCTGTTACAATCAATTTTTCGGGTTATTTCAAAATATACTTTCTACATTCCTATTGTTTTAATGAAATTTATTAAAAATTGCTTCCTTTTGCCCTGCAGCCTGATCAAATTGAAAACACTTATAATGTATGTGTCCATTCCCACTTCAACTACTTGCACACCAACATGACATTATTTTTCAAGTATTATGATGGTTTTTGAAGTTCCCTTCAATGATTTGAGGAGTTTGGACTACAAATTAACTAATCAATTTGCTCAAATTTTACTTCAGATTCCTCTACTTTTGTCCTCATTGTCTTTCATCAAAAAGGTACTATATATTGAATTCTATCGATCAATGTACAGGACGTTACATAAAAAACAGTTCCTAATTTGTTTACTCCGATCCAACAGCCTCAAAAGTAAAAAAAAGAGGAACTGCAAACTATATTGATGATCAAAAATAAAATCTACACGAATCCATAAGACATATCATGAGTAGAGTCATTGTACTGATCCATAGGCTGCATTGTCGAACTTGAACCAATATCACGAGTAGAATCATTGTATATGAAAGGGTACTGATCCGTAGGCTGCATTGTCGAAGTTGAACCAATCCCATAATTATTCCCCATAGGCTGCATTGTCGAAGTTGAACCAATCCCATTACTCCCCATAGGCTGCATTGTCGAACTTGAACCAATTCCAACATTTGCAGACCAGTTTTCAGCCTCAATCATCTTAGAATAATTTGCATTGCAAAATTGATAATCCTCGATAGTAAGAAGCCCATTATCCATCCCTGCTCCCATTGAATTCACACCACTAATTGGAATATTTGATTGAAAGAAGTTGTTGTAATCGGTGAAAGAATTCACATTAGAAATAGGCCACAGAGACAGAGTAGTTTGGTTCATCAAGTTGTTGTCCCATATTTGTTGATGAGAAACTGAGCAACTTCTAATATGAACATTCATGCTCTTCAACAATTCTATTTTTCCTTTTGCCTTCTCCATCTTTTTCTCAACAACACCAGCAAGATTTTGCAATTCTTTTTCAGATAAATAGTCAAATCTTGAATCCCAAGTGGGATACTTTTCTACTTTGATCTCAGCCTTTTTCTTTTCATCATTTTCGAAGAAGTTGGACAATGTCTTACCCCTCTTAGTCCGGCCATCGAGTGGTTGGTGATTGTAGAGATTTATTAGCTCTTGAACATCATTTGAATCACTCGGCCAGATTTGATGATTATTTCCTTCATGTATGATCATGCATGCTTTGATGTCGCAAAGTATTGAGAGTTCCGAGATTTTCTTGACTAAGCCAGCTTTCCGTGTCACTAAAGTTGTCATTCTCTTCTTGTGATCTTGAATTAGTTCCACTTTCATTTTTGATCTCCCCATTACCTGCCCCTTCAAGAAAATACAGTGTGTATGTAATGAAAAGAAAATTATGTTGTCGTCATTCCTCTCTAATTCATATAAAACTTGAAGAACCTAACATAAATTCAGATTACTCGATCCACCAAAAGAAGGAAGAAAAAATTAATGAATTTAGGAGATGAATCAAAGCTTCAGAATTAACTAATGTGATTTAGTTGTATGAGAATAGCAATGAAATATGGAAAAGAAAAGAAAATTACGAGGAACTAATACTTGTTGTGGAAGTATATATGAACAACTGTTACCATAATTATATATAACAAGTTTCACGCGTTGGTTTCTTTTTTTTTTTAGAAACTATACTAATTATTATTGTAACAATATTTGTAATATAATTATAATTATAATTATAATTACCTACTTATTTAGGAATTACTACACAGTTTATAAAAATTATGTGAATACTTCTTCCACCGCTCTTCTTACCCTATTTTTATAGGAATTACTCACTTTATAAAAATATGGAGTATTATTTGTTTTTGTGTGTGGTACTCTTGACTAGGGTTGTTCATGGTTATGGTTAAAAAGTCAAACCGAACCGCAATCCAAATCAAACCAATATTTGGTTTGATTTTTTTAGGTTTGGTTTTTAAATTTCGAAAACCAATACTATTTGGTTTGGTTTTACTAAAAAACAATTGTAAAAATAATCAAACAGAATCGATAAATTAGATATATAAATTTTATAATTATTTATATATTATTTATAAATAAAGGGCAAAAAACTTAAGTATACAACTTAAGTACCTTAATTACTATTATATGACAATAGTTTTTGTTATCACCTATATAGCAATAGTTTTTTTTCAAAACTAGAATTTATATTTTAAAAAAATAAAATAAAAAATAACGTAGAAATAGTCAACCACGATTATCTCTAATCCCTGATTTTCTCCAATTATTTTACCTTCCACGACTTACTTTTATTAGTCACTTTGAGGGTAAGTTATTGCTCATTATTTTTTGCTACGTCAATGTAAAATTCAATAGACCAGAGTATCCATATTTTTCCATTGCAATTTGAGCTACAACCTTTGATACAATTTTTCCATTGCAATTTGAGCTACAACCTTCAAAACCAAGACCTTTTCTGTATTTTTCCATATGATAAGCATCAACAAAAGGCTCCTGAATTGCTATAATTTGATCAGTATTGTGAATTATGGATAAAAACTTTAGTCTTTCAAAAGCCCCCTCAGACTTTACTCCTCTAATATTCCAAATAATTGTACTAATCATTAAAAATATGAGTAGAAGATGTTCCACCAATTTGAAATGCTTTCCCCATTGCCCTTGTAAAAAGGCCTAGTTTTGCCAAATGATGCAAGAATGGAATTTGAGATGGAAACAACTACAAACTAAGCTAAGGTAAGAAGCTAAATTAATCTAAGGATAATTTCATTCATATCCCCCAAATGAGTACCTACAAGGTATTTATACAATGCAAAACTAAACCCTAGACAAATAGAAATGACAATACTACCCTAATACACTAACTTAGGGTCTTAAAGAAATAGAAATAGAAAATTGGGACTAAAATGTAAAGGATGGAAACTATTTAAATATGCCACTTTTGAACTCCCTTGGTTCAACTTGCAACATTCCTTCCCCCTTAAAATAAACCTTGTCCTCAAGGTTAAAAACATGAAGGGTATAGTGAATGTCTTCCAAAATTCACTTGAACTCCAGTAAGCATCCTTGAATTTATGCATCCAAAACTCATGCTTAACAAAGTCATACTGCAAGGAGAAGACAAGCACATGGGCAGTATTTTTCAACCCAATATCAGTGAACTTTCGGTCAGCAGCTTTAAGAACCAACAAGGTAATTACGTTGAGTCGATTCCTCATATATCTACCCTGTTTTCCTGAAGCCTTGTCAACTACCGAGAGAATGGATGACTCGTGTATAGGTTCACCAAGGACATCTAGAATGAACCATGTAAAAGAGACAACATTGAAAACTGAAAGTGCAACAATTAGACTCAAAATGCTGCCAAGTTGTAGTAGTCCATCTTTTAATTCTAGTATCATTTTCATTGCAAGACAATGCCAAAATTGAAGTAAGGCATCTGATGCAATATTACTACCATGTAATATACTTGCCAACTGAATTTGATCCCTATCCACATTAATAGCATTGCCCAACTTGTTTATGAATTTGAGACTATACTTTAGTTCCCTCAATTTACTCCTCCAGTCAACTAGGCAACTATATTTCTTCTCTTTGAGTGAGCAGCCATTGTGACTATGATCTTGAGAGAAAATGATGTCCAAGGGATGATACAAATGGCTCCTAGAAGCAGAAAGATCGTCTAGTAGGTGTGTGGTCAACTGAGTACTGAAAATAGCAAGTAAGAAGATTGTATCCCCTGTCAACCACCATTGTAGATTGTCAGCAATACTCCTTCCACCTTGTCCCAATCTTTCAAAATTAGAATTGTAAAGCCTTGATTTTCCAATACCCAAGATGTTTAAAGTGGTGTTGTAGTATATAGAGAGAGCCATGAAAATAGGAAAATTCCATGAAATAATCTGACCAACAAGTGCTCTATTTCCAAATCGTATTAGTACTTCCTCATTCAAAACTTCCTTGACCTCAAGGAAGCATCTAAACAAACATGAGCATAAGTGAAAACAGTCACCTGGATCAAATGGAAATCGTAAACAATCACCAAATATACGAGCTCTAATCTCAACTTGGTCAACAATGTTGGTAAGAGCATCAACAAATGTCAAAGGAAGTGAAGCAGGGAAGTTTGCTCTCCTCGAGAATTGAACATACTCCTCAAGGTTTCGTTTTCCCGTGAGTACAACAGTAACAACGTTGTCATTTTCTAATTTAGTAGAAACGATTGATTCATCTAAATTCACAGACTTTCATGAACAAGTCACGCAATCACAATCAACGATTAAAAAACCTTGCCAATTTAAATATTTCTCAAGTACTCGAATTGCACTAACCTTAGCGCTTCCTGGCACATGTATAGCTTCAGGTCTTTTTATTACAGTAGCTACAGCAAGAGCTAAAGCTGAATTAGTATCTACCCCACTTAGCAATAAAGCACCGCAACAGATAACTAGAGAAAATGAGAAGTTGTTGCTCGACATTGGAAACTCAATCTTCTTTTGTAATGGATAGCCCCTAAGCAACATCTCTTGCGATATAGAAGATCTCCCTAAGTTACCAATTCAGATTTTTGAAAACGAGCAACCTCTATATGTCGTAAAATGCTTCTCGAAAGCAGCTGGACATTCTCTTGTAGTAGGGACGTCGCTTCTAATGAATAGTCCAAGTGAAAATTTCAGACCCAAATGGAATTCGGCACACTCTTCATCTGCAAGGGCTGAAACTATTTTTCCTTTCTCCTCAAAGAAACTCGCAGTAGTAACAAAATTTTCATTCCCGATGCAATTTAATTTGTCAAAATAACCTACAACATCACGAGTTGACATTTCTTCCCATTGATCTTTTTGTATCCTCCTCTCTTCTTTTTTCTTAAGTCTACTCAAATTTAAGAAATACTCCACTGTTGTTACCATTTTCTCTTCAATAGTAGGGCTGTTAATAACAAGGAATTGGTTTGATTCTTTTACAACATTTAACACACAAGTCTTTCCTTCCTTTGTTGGAAAAACACTATCGACCAAAGCTAACGTCATAGGGTTGTCCTCCTTGTTGTATACAACCATGTCACTGCTGAAAGCAAGAATTTCAAGAGAACAAACCTGATAAGGAATAACAAAATCAGTAAAAGAGCATTTGGATTCCAGATTCTTCACTTGAAGCTCACAATAAGTAGGTGGATAGCCATTAAAAGTAGCAGTGGTGTCATATGATGTTTGATCAAAAAATACTACTGACTCTGTTATGCTCTTGGTAGTAGTTTCTAGTTCAATAAAACTTTGTGAAACATCAATTGCTTGAGAAGGCATATCAACATAGGTTTCACAAGTTCTCAAAGAGCTTTCATCAAACACCTTGTGTGCATTCACATCAAGGGGTGAAGGACTTCGAAAAAACTCTTCCTCCTCCTTATCAATTCCATTCTCCCCCAATTCAACCTCTAAATCCAAGTTCATTTTGCAATTATCTTTGTTGTTTGGAACTGCAACTTTTAATGTTACAAGAACACGAACCTTCTGAGAAGGTATAGTATCATTGTCTCCAAATTTAGAAATATGATAAGAGTTGGTGAGAAGAGGTTGGTGAACCTTAGTAACGACAGATGGTGATATCACGGCTTCTAAAATCACCGCATTGCAACTCCCAACGACTTGAGTGCTGCCTGGTCCTTCTCCACTGAAGCTGACGTTACTGTTGATAACTGTGGGAATCACTTTATCCATCAGAGGGTCTTCGGGAGAGAGCCAAACCGTGGACGTATTGATAGGAGACTGTTGATACTGACAGGACAATGAAGGATTGGGAAGTTCAAATCGGTAGGTGGTTCCTACCATCCTTGGGTCAGAGCCAAAACCCATAGTTGCAGCTCCTTCCCTAACCACACCAGCATACCAAATATTCGAGGATGTCCTAGCGAACTCCGATGGCTGGTAGGGATAAAAAGCAGGTTGGAAGCTCAAAGCTTGCCGAGGATGTTCTAGACTAGAATTAGAAGAGTATAAATGGTATTGTTGATCAAAATGTTGTTGATACCCGGAATAGTAAGCTCCATATCCGGTATTACAGTAGTCATAAGGATTGCTAGCTTGATAGATTGCATTTCCACTATAATTTTGCCATGGATTTGCAGCCCCAAACTCTGGTGAAGCTCGTGGGTCACTGTACGGTGAACGAAATCTACGAATGTCCATTGCAAAACAGGTCAGAGGTTCGATGCTCTGATACCAAATGATGCAAGAATGGAATTTGAGATGGAAACAACTACAAACTAAGCTAAGGTAAGAACTAGGCTAAATTAATCGAAGGATAATTTCATTCATATCCCCTAAATGAGT